TATGTTTTCAAAAACCACCAACCACAAACACATTGATGTCATGGAAAAAATGATGGTGAGAATACTAGTATGTGTTTGATATGACAAAGAGGATCATGGGAACTATGAAACAGAAGCCCTGATGTCAAAAGTAAAGATATACCGTAGTATATGCTGTGTATTTGCAAACAGACGAGGTTCAGTTCCTTTTATAGACAGTTTAAGTTTTACAGAATAAAAAAAATCCATTAAGATTTCCTGATCAATCATATACAGTATGTATTTGAGCCGATTGTAAATTAAGGAACAAACATTTGAAATCATGGGGGTGGCAAATTTGTTTTTTGCGGTGTTTGTAATTTTTTTATTTGTTCGTTGCGACACCTTGCATGCACTATTTTTTGTTTTCTTGGTTTCTAGTCAGTGCATGCTTCAGTTTTAAACATACATACATTCTTTTGGGTATAATTCAGCCAAAATACTTTGAAAATGAAACAAACAAAAGATAAATGAAGAAGAAGAAAATAGTACATCATTGCAGCGTAAATATTGCAGAATAAAAATATTTCTATTTTTGTCTTACAAGTGATATGAACAATTTACATTTACTTATTAGACAGCCAGGGAAAAGTTGGAACTCAATAAATATTGGTAATTCTCTTTGGCAAAATCAATTGTATTCATTGTCTTAAAGAAAATAAAACAATTAACACTAACAAAGCTCTCTTTGCTTCTCACACGATGCCTGTTTCCATGGAAACAGAATTCCTTATTCCTTTCATCTCATACTTGCATACTATGCATACAAGATGCACGATTGATCAAATTATAACAATTTACTTATTGGACTTTTCATACAAACATTATTTTATTGCTCCAATTTTCCCATTCGATTTTCAATCAGTAAGTTGTTGGCAACAACTATGTGTAACTTCAATCAAAGTGGGCAAAACTAAACATTGAGAATTTTATCCATCTATAAAATGCAGAGCAGAATCATTAGTTGTAAAGTTGTAAAGTATGTATGTTAATTCTTACCTTGTAACGGTATTGGAGAAGATACGGTTGGCGTACTGGCTGTACTACCACTACCGCTACCACCGCTACCACTAGCAGCCTCCCCACTGGAGTTGGAACTTTTCGGTGGCAGTTTCATGCCTAGCTGTTCGGCTAATTCAGCATGGTCCCCAGGATGCACGTAGTCAAATGCGCTACTGCCCGTCAATTCAACCTGTTGGTCAATTAAAAAAAAAGTTTGTGAACAATAATTTCATATCCTGTATAATTTGCTGCCTTAGTAATGGATGTTCTACTGTGAAACATTGTATTTTCGCTGCTCCTAGAAAGAGGGAGGGGAGGGTTTGACTAAATTTACAAAACTATGTGTGACTCAAATATTATTTCAGTCTCTTTGAGGATCTCATCAACTGTTATATATATATATATAAAATATCTTGGATTCCTAGATTAAAGGCATTTCTATTTTTCTCTAGATACCAGATGTACATTTCAAGCATTTGCGTGAGATGATATTTTTACTGTATTTTGAGTTTACTATAAAACAAAATCAATCACATCAACTAAAAACCCATTTTAGTTAAAAAAGCCCAATTTCTAGTCAAAAAGTCATTAACAAAATAAATAGAAAAGAGAATACAGTTGATAATGTTTTTGTCAGGAGTGTGTGCTTTATTTTCAGCAGTCACATGGTTATAATATTGTGAAGTACTTTGGACCAATGAGAACAAGGATAGTGTTACAATGTGACAACTAATCACAAAGCCTCATTCAGATTTATTGTCCCATCCCCGACAAATAAAAAAAAAATATACATCCATTTTATTTTTCGATCTCAATACAAAAGAATACATTACATGCAAACAAATTTCACGTCTCGTAAAAAAAAGAAAGAAATCTTTGCATTGATTAGGTTGGACTGTCTGTGTCAACCGGCGGTGAAAGCGAATGACCTTATCTTTCAAATTAGGCGTTCTAACACAGTAACTGATTAAAACAATTGGGAGATATAAATTCTTATTGTTGACTGAAATAAAGTGGAATTTATATGCCGAAAATACATAGTACAAGCAGCGCACACTCATAAATATGTCACTCGGTAATTAACAAATGTTCTGAATTTTTACAGTCAGAAAATTTAGTAGATGAAGTTGAAGACAAGAATCAATGGTACGTAGTCTATATAGCAATAACTTTTGATCTGGTTAATTAAGCTCGTTTCATAGCAATATTCTACAACAATGAGATCAACTATGCATGTCTAATCACAGTTTTTATCTTTATAGCTTGTAATAAAAAACACAAAAACAAAACATATCTTTACATTTTTATATTACTTTGAAACCAAAAATGCATCCGAGTTTGACTTGACAGAGCATACTGATTGTTATAAACAGCATTGATGCGTTAGAAGCTGCGATTTCAAGCAGAACTCGCGAAGGACCTTCTTTTATTTTTGGATCTATTTATAGAGATATTCAGACACACTGCATGTCAATGTCTATCCATATTCCTTCCTTGAATCAAGTGTCATTTTGCAGGGGAGAACCATACTTGAGCAAAATTAATAACCGCACTTTGCACTATTACGTTGAACACACTCACAGCCATGCACATCAAATCATCATTTCAAATCAGCATTTTGATATGATCAACTCATGTCCTTTTCTCAACATTTTCATTTTTATTTGAATTTTGTGTCCACTAGGGAGTCGTAATCTATACAGAGTGTTTGCCCTTATAATTAATGTAATTACTTTAATTGTGATTACTTATCCTGGCATGCTGACTAGTAGTGTGGCAGGGCAGAAAACCATTCCCGTAGTTCCAGGCGGTGGCGTTTGAAGCAATTCTCTGATGGATATGACACTAAAGGTTGTCTCAAAGACAACGCGATAGTAAGACACTTACGTTTGCCCTCTGCTCTGATCTTCACTCTAAGGACAGTTCCTATAAACAGGAGTAGATTTATTTGACTTCCCTGTGTATCGCTATCTCTCTTCTTTACTAACTCTCGTCATTTTAAGATAATTCCCCTCCAGTTTAAGTACTGTCAGTTCCCAGGGCCTGCCCTCAACTAACCTATAATTAAAGCTTCCTAATACACTTTCTCTTTGATCTCTCACACGCTGATCAAGGATTCCATCTCCCTCTACTTTCATTAAACCATCATTTTCATATTTGTCATAGGGGAAAATTTGTAGAGTACAAGTGGCAGGTCGTGACCTCCATTATTGCCGTACCAGCCACATGTTTTACGCAGTCATCAGGGAGGAGTACGCAATTGTAATCTTCTGCTAGTGGCCCACTAATTATAAGATTTCAATTTTCAGTAGCAAGCTTTATCATAGTTTTTATCATTTTATCTTTTAAGTCATTGTACTTATCTGACCCATGGCACTTTTGTACAGTTTGTACAGTACGAATCAAAGTTTATTTTTTTGATCAAATTTTTAAATTTCAAATTTTAAACTGCTGTGGTAAGAGTAAAAACGTACGTATCTTATATTTACATCCAACTACTTGCTGTAAGTTTAAAGACATGTGGGTTCTGAGTTTGAGAGTGTCTGTTCATTTCCAGCCTCAGTTGTTTTTGATTTGCCTGCTTCATCTAGCAACTATCTGAGAGGAAATGACTAAACGGAATATCGGTGGTGATTTTCTCTCCCGATTTCTAGCCTTTGTCATTTTCCAATCATTCCAATTAGCTTCCAATACTCTGCTTTTATCCTGACTCAATAACATTTTCGTTTCTTTTCTTCTTTTGAAATGACTCCAGTCAAAGAGCAGGTAGTTTGCAGACAAAGACCAACCTGAAGACTGGCCCAAGTCAGTAATTTGCCTATTTTTCTCAATTTTCAAGAGATTTTCATTGATTTGGGCAATGCTAATACACGTCAAACGGAGAAATTTATCCGTCTGGGCTCCCCTTCTACAACTCAAATGGCTGTTTAGGTTCCTATTGAAATGTCAAGAATGGAAACGTCTATTACGAGTTGACAATACCTGTCCTAAAGAATTACAGTTACAAGTCTCAGTCCACCACTTTTCTCCAATTTCACTCAGATAAAAAAAGACTGCAGTGTATTAAGAGCATTCATTTATCAAGTACATTGTCATCTCTCATTTTCTTTGCATGATGTATATTACTAATAAAAATATAAACATAGTGTAACCCTTCCTTAATGAAGAAAATAATATGAAAATTGATCTATGCTTTATTTTGTATCATCTTTATTTAGTGTATTATTTAGTCATTCATTTCCTAGTCAAGTTCCAATATTTGTCTGTACAATTTACTTTATTGCATTTCTATCTTCTGTAATGGCCTATTTTTGAATGCTAGTGGAACAATTGATCATCCAAAACAGTACAATATGCTACGATCTGCCACAAATCACGGTGCTTAAAGGTAAAATGATTGAGCCCTCATAGCCGTAGGCAACGAATGCTATTTATACCAACTTTTATAGTATATGCAAGCTATCTAGGTGGAGTAGCAATGATAATGTCAATATTGAATGCATTTTAGACAATATTAAAGACATAATTCAGCATCTCGTTGCCCAAAGGCTGCCAGATATCCATTTATTTTTGGATATATGAAGCGCAGGTCAATTTAACCGAGGATTATTGAGTCAATAATATTATGGAGATAGGATAAGAAATAATAGAGTCAACAGTATTAATATCTATAGATCGTGTGTCATAATAGTACTTTAGTCATTCAGTATGCCAGCTACTTTACAAAACACATGATGCCGCATCTTCTCATTGTAATCTGACGCTTTGAAAATATCAAATGTATCTTTTAACGTGGATATTAAGTGACAATGGGTTATTTTTCTTCTTAATTTGCTGTAGATATGAGTTTATTGTACGAGTACCACTTGGTATGTATTTAAACATTTAATAGCTTCTGAAGTTTATTTTTTATGGTTACATTATTTTTATTATTTCACTTTCCTCTCTAGCTTTTATTTCTCTTCTTGAAATGAGAATGCGAAATGCGTTTAATAGTTCTTAATTGTTTTCATTTCACCGTTGAATTTAACTATTTAGTTCCATTGGAGTTTTGGGAATTCAGCACGGAGGAATCAGATTACATTGGCGAGAAAATATATTCAAGAAGTAATGTTAAAATCGCTTTAATTTGTGAAACAATTTTGTTTGTGATGAGTAGAAGGAAAATCGTGACACTTTGTAGTGGGGTAATGATTACAGGGGGGGGGTGTTCTCTAGTTAGCACGTCACCGTTACTTTTGCGAATTTTTCTTTTGAGCACCCTTAAATCATTAAATTGTGAGAACTTATAGCAGTGGGAAAATATAACGGTTGAATTATGGGTATAAAAACCCACAGAAATACTGTAGGGTATTTTTAAGGTAAAATTAAATGAAAGCAAAATGTCTTGTGCAGTCATAGTGACTGTTCAAGGGGATAAATGAATTTAGTAACCTATAACAACGCAAGTTGACGTAGATTGAGGACACACAGACAGAGCAATGTAAAGTTGATGTAAATTGAGGACACACAGACAGAGTAATATACAGTCGAAGTAAATTGAGGACACACAGATAGTAATGTACGTAATAATAAAACGTAGATTGAGGACATACAGACAGAGCAATGTAAAGTTGATGTAAATTGAGGACACACAGACAGCAATGTAAAGTTGATGTAAATTGAGGACACACAGACAGAGTAATGTACAGTCGACGTAAATTGAGGACACACAGATAGTAATGTACGTAATAATAAAACGTAGATTTAGGACACACAGACTGTACATAATGAATGTACATAATAATTAAATGATTTCTCAAGGTTCTTGTCATCCCCCAAAACGTGCTTGGACCTAAACTTATTGTACGTGTTTTGTAATTAATGAACGTTTGCTATGTAAATGGTTCTCATGAAAATTAAGATTTCTACTTGGAGAAAAAAACAACAAATCATCACATTGTTAGTATAGCAGTACTACACATGCTTATACTACTTTTGAGAAAGAAAAAAATTATTAATTTTTTGACTGAGCCATTTATTCTGAAGCATGTCCAGTAGGTCTTGTCTCTTTCAGTGGGGAATAAATGAACTAGATCCAATCCTTTATGTCGAAACTGAATTGCACTGACGATAAAACATGAAATTTACAAGTAGCGATATCACAATAAACTGAGGTAGGATCTCTACAATTGCATTCCAGGGATTACATAAACCTGTCAATTTTAATGATGATGGCTAGATGATGAACTCACCTGTGACAGGCCCAAGTATATGGAGACTGTCTCGGAAATGTACAGAAATCTACCGTCATTGTTCAGTATGAATAGGAAACCATCCAGTGACTGTAATAAAAGAGGAAATCATATTAATAATGATGATGTTTAATAAAAGAATTGTGTATTATTTTATTTTAAACACATAAAATAATAACAATGAAAATTATTTATTTTATAAATAACTAATTGAAACATATTTTCAAAATTAAAGAAATTTCCAGCAGAGAACAAAACAAAACAAACAAACAAACAAAATATCAATATATTGAAGCCTGTAGAACATTTTCATTTTCAATGGTGGGGGGGATAATCAGTGAACAAAAATTGTCATGATTTCCAGGGGGAAAAGAAATACCGGCTACAAGAATAGTATGCTTCATTTTACTAAAAAAACAAATGACTACCAACAATATATATACTATAACAATAATGAAAGAACCACAGTTCCATACTAGTATTTGATTCTGAGTTGATTCAATGCTGCAAATGAGCACACTATCGAGCACAGAATTGACTCAGCATCTAACAGGACATTGTAGAGAGTTGATTATTATTATTATTATTATTATTATTATTTTGGCTTGTTGTACACACAAACCCTGACCATAGCATAGCCCCAATATTGCTCTACATTGAAACATGCCGGCGACACACTGAATCGATCGTAAACAAATATTTAAAGTTGATAGATGCTTCATGTGAAATGTTTTGAGTTGCATTAAATGCTTTTTATTCTTACATCACAAACCCTGCACCTTTTTCTAAAAAAAAAGGGACTGAATTTCACTCCTAAAGGCTAAACCAGGAGACCACCTAGGGAAAAATAAAACTTTTCTGCTAGCGTAAACTGCAAGTATTTCTAGTTGGAAAGAGCATAAAAAATGCAACGGTGGATTAAAAACACGAAACGTATCTCTATAATGATAGGCTTTAATGTCTTGAATATTAATTTGCTTGAAGTTTAACTATAAACAGTATCAGGAATGTCTAGTGAATATCAAAGTACTGTGGTATACTTTATTTTCGCTGGAATTAATTTTCGCTGAAAGGGCTTTTTGGGTGTTTTGTATGGAATTTATTTTCACTGATTTTTGATCAGCTTAATGTGAAATATAGGAAAAAAAATATATTCGCTGGATTTTATTTTCACGAAATTATCCCTCCAGCGAAAACAGCGAAATAAAATTCCAAGCGAAAATAAAGTAGTCTACAGTACTTTTATATTGTAGATGTACACACCTGTGTTTGCCACAAAACCATGTTATATACATAATGCATTAAGCACGAAACAAGAAAACTTACATGGAATTTTACAAATAATTATCATAATGGTACTTTAATTCATTCATTTTGCTATAAAAAAATTAATTATAAAAACAATATGAAGTTGACCCAGTGATGTTTAACAGTGATCCATTAGTGTTCTAATGATACTATCAACCCAACCCCCCCCCCCAAAAAAAAAACTTAAAAATTTTAGAAAGCTTTTTCTCCTAGCCATTTATAATTTAGTTATAAGGCCATAATAGCAATTTCTGCACAGTGGAATTCATTTTTCATAAATTTTTTAACACATTCCATAAATTTGAATTTAAAATTATCATCGCATGACAAGTTTCCGATCTCACTTTGTAGTGGTATTAAAATTTCATGATTTGTATATGCGGTGGAATACCAATGGGTGTGGTTTCATGTTAAGTGTGATGTTTCCCAACCTCAAAACCATGTAAACATGTAAAAAAAAAAAAAATCAACAATGTCTTGAGCAAGACGTACATGCCCATGATTTCCCAGAATGCAATGGTGACCATACATAAGTGATCATTATGACATCTGCCATGTGGAATACACAATAAGGGTCAGGGAAAAAAACATAAAAATTTCTGGTAATTTTTTTTTTTTAAATACTGGTACCCAAAATTTTCATAACAATTGTTTTTATTGATTTTTCATGAAAATTGAAATTTCTCCTTCAGAAATTGTGACAAAAATCTGGACAGCTGTGTTTTAACTGACGTGTGATATGACTAAAAATATGAATATTTTGGACCTATATCAAATGTGGGGCCATTATAGCAGAATATAACACAAGGAACACAGTTGAGGTATCACATTAACATTCATGGTAATATAACAGCCTCAAGTATTAAACCCTATTGCAACATTTTGAAACATTTTAGTCAAACTATTCAAATAATTAGTATCAATTAAATGAATTACTGCCTGGAAATGAGGGAGAAGAAGATTAGAACCAGAAAAAAAAAGAAAACAAATTGTTTCAAAAATCAATGTCCACAATTTTGTTTTTTATTTAAAATTGTTTTTCTTCATTTAAAAAAAGAAAGATGTGATGTGCACAATTTTTTACTGAAATGCACAAACATAATTTGTTTTTAGTACAAAATGTATGAGAAAAACATGGTTGTACAAAATACCCAAATATACTGTGTTCATTATTTAACTGGTACCACTTTAGTATTAGTGAATTTATAGGTGAAATCAACGGGTGACATCCAATGTAGCTAGTGCATCAAAGACAATGCGTAAATTACCATGGAGGTAATAGGTTTGGCGGACGATTTATTCTGATTTGTTTTTCTACTATAAAGACATGAACAGTGAAAACTTGCGAAGTGTATACACTTTTCTATTACACTCCCAGAAGCATTCATATAGCCTAGAATCAAGTTTATAAGACCTCTACAATTAATGCCTAGCTGCAGTTGCTGGTTCATCTTATTATCACATACCAGGCTGGCTTTACTGGTACCATTGGACGACAAAAAAAAGTGTCCATTCATTGGCCAATAAAAATGCAGCTTATGCACACATTCAAACTCAAGATGATACACTGCTTATGTGGATGTTTTTTTTTTAAATCAAATTCATGGCCTTGTTTATATTCATTGCTTAATTTCTCTGAAAGAACTCAAAAAAGCCAATAAATTCCAGGCTATGCTTTGTACGAAGTTAAACTTTTCAACGGTTAAGCAGAAGAAGAATGCGTGTTACAGATTTCAGTCGGAAATAATTTTGTTCAATTTGTGGAGTCGGTAATGAATTAAAGAGAAAACAACCGATCAAGGTTGTCGGCCTGTAGATTTGCAGAATTGTATCAGCACCAATACAGACATAACCGTCGTAATAACAGGAAATCAAAATGGCCAGATTTATGGAAAAAAAACCTCTTGACTGATCAACACACAATGGTAACGTGCAAGATGGAAAGTTTTCGCTATGTGACTGGCTAAGTGACAACGCGACGTGCCTGATGAAGATTGATCTAGAATGCGACTTATTGGCTTTATTGGTATTTTCCTGAGGTCAATTGACGATTGGTGTTTTTGTCGCTAGCTTTTCCATCCCACACAATTGATGTTTTTGTGTAGAGCAGTGAGTGATGGCACAAATAGGGGTTATTTACTGAAATTTAATTACGATGGATTTCAGACCCATTTAAGTTTCTGTCATTCTAACTAATAGTATCATTAGCACCTTGATATCAACGTGGAAGTGTCCGACATCTACTCTGACTCAAAATGAAGTCATTTTCTCACACATTTTTCGTAAGTCTGATTCACCCAATGGTCTTGCAGGCTCCTTATTAAGACTAATCCGGAAATGGAAAGTACTTTAAAAATGAAGTGCAGCGGGTATCGCTAGTAACTAAAACAACCAGCAACCATCAATTTCTCATTACCTTTCGCTTTCTCTTAACACTGTCCATTTTTCTCTCAACTCAAATTAACATCAACACATTCTTTCTAAATTAAATTACATAAATACTAAATTAGATTTGCTGAAATAATTGTTTTTTCGTTGCATAATGAATAAAATCCTATTTTGTTCACAGTTGTCTATATGACATGAACTATAAAGAACATGTACTCCAGTTTTTGTTTTTACAGTGGTTGATTACCACTAAAATTTATTGTTAGAATTCTTATACTCACAAAATCAACATAGTTACAAATACCATAGTTACACATAGAATCTGTCAATTCCCGGTAAATGGGAATGGTGAAAAAATCTATGTAGTCATAAGATGGTTGTCCTTAATTATTGAAAACTCCTGACAGAATTTTTTTAAAATAATGTTATAACAGGAATTCTTATAAAAACTGCTCAAAAAAGGTTAATCTTTGCATGTCATCAGATAATTTATCTTCAATAAAGTTTTTCATACTGAAGTACAAAAGCCCATAAGTAGATGAATTGTTTTTAATGAAATACGTATAGCTTTTTGAACAAAAAAAACATGATTATAGTTTTTTTTTTTTCAATAGTTTGAACAGACTGCCAACAATCTTTAATAACCTTTTCACCACCAATTTTACCAAATAGTCCTGTTTATAGTCTGCACTTTTCTTCTAAAGATTGGGACAAAAATAATCAAATTTTTTGAGTAAAAAATAAAAATTTACTCAAATTTTGTCTGTTGGTTGCAAACTTAGGGTTTATTTTCAAAAATATTTGAAGAATATAAGAAAAAGGTACAGACAAATTTGGGTGAGAATGGTTGTGAAAAGGTTAAAGGGTTGGTCATTGGGAACACTTCTGGGACAATAACAGAGTAAACAAATTGCATAAATTAACAATAATCTCACATTTGATGGAGGAAAGCTTTGCAAAATGTGATGCAAAAAAACATCCTGGAAATAAAAATCTAACGGTAGCTTGAAACTAAGTGAAAGAAAAAAAATTTGTTATTCTTTCTGCTAAAGTTTCTGACAATCAACCCTTAAAGAAAACTGAAGTACATACATAGCTGACTAGCGTTTCATGCATGTTTAGAAACAAGAACACTTTGCGTCATTGTTGTCATTGATTTCTGGCCATCAAACGAATAAGAAAACAGTCTCTATTCCAAAAATATTTAGTTATAAAGTCAGCTGTCATATCATCAGTGTTACATAGCTACTCAAGCAAAGTGGTGTTGAGAAGAACAATATAGACTTCCACTTTTTTTAAGCGTAAAACATTTACAACATACTATGGCTTATTCGCTTGGTATCCTGACAAATAGCATGTACAGTACGTGGTTCTGGCAATATACAATTAAAATG